TAGTGGCTCCTATTTCCTTCTAGAGAGGGTAGTAGGAAAGAAAAAATAACAAAAGTTATAAGGATGGGACAAGACAAAACAAATGCTTTGTTATTTGTTGATTGTCACCTAGCAAAATACAAAGAATCTAGCAAGAGGTGAGTCTGGATACAAAATACATTTAAAAGAGCTACTGTGCATTATTGTATCCATAAGTATCATTTCAGAGCAAAGATTTATTTATGGATTTATTTTGGTTTTTGAGACAGGGTTTCTCTTTGTAGCCCTGCCTATACTAGAACTCACTCTGTAGATCAGTCTGGCCTCAAACTCATCAGTCTGGCCTCAAACTCAGACATCCACCTGCTTTTGCCTCCATAATGCAGGGATTAAAGGCAAGCACCATCATTCCTGGCTCAATAAATGTCATTTTTGTTTTGTTTTGGTTTGGTTTTTGGTTTTTTCCAGATAGGGTTTCTCTGTGTAGCTTTGGAGCTTATCCTGCAACTTGCTCTGTAGACCAAGCTGGCTTCCAATTCACAGAGACTTGCCTACTTCTGCCTTCCAAATGCTGGTATTAAAGGCATTAGCCACCACTGCCTAACTAATAAATGCTATTTTAAAAGCTATTTGGGGCTGGAGAACCGGCTAGTAATTAAAAATGATGGCTATTCTTTCAGAAGATCTGAGTTCAATTCCCAGCATCTACATAGCAGATCACAACTTTCTGTAACTCCAATCCCAGGAGAGCCAAGCCCTCTTCTCATCTCTACAGATCCTGGGCATACATGTGGTACACAGACATAGATGCAGGCAAAACACCCATATGTATAATATAAAAATAAAAAGTCTTACTATACACATATAAAAATAAGTCAAACTCCAAAAATATATAATATCTGAATTATTTCTGGGTCAAGTGTTTTTTTTTTTTTTTATAAAGCATAGATAGTCTGTTTGTCCTTGTAGTAAAAGGATGGACCACCAGGCTCTTAGATCTCAAAAGATGTACAAATACTTTAAAATTTGTATTCTTTTATAAAAAGGTATTTATTAAAGGCCAAAATAAAGGGCTGGAGGGATAGCTCAGTCTGAAAAGTTCTTGTTCGGCAAGCACAGTACATGAGTTCAATATCCAGAACCCACATTAAAAATCATTAAAAAAAAGAGAGAAAGAAAGAAAGAAAGAAAGAAAGAAAGAAAGAAAGAAAGAAAAAGCAGGTTGCCAGTGGTGGTAGCAGTGGCGGCTACAGCTGTAAGAGCAGTACAGGCCTTAAATCCCGGCACTCGGAAGGCAGAGGCACTCGGACCCCTGTAAGTTCAAGGTCAGTCTGGTCTACAGAGTAATTCCAGGACAGCCAGGAAGGACCACAGAGAGAAACTGTGTCTTGAAAAACTAAAAGCAAACAAAACCAAGTGTGTCATTGCCCACTTCTTATCCCCGAGCAGGAGAGGTGGACACAGGAGCATCTCTGATTTCTCTGGCCAGGCAGCCTGGGCTGTCTCAAAAACAAGGTGGACAGTGGCAGAGGAAGAACCTCCAATGTTGTCCTCTGACCTCCACTTGAACACACGTGTGAACATTTGAACATACATGTGTGCCTGCATATATGGGAGCTCAAGCATTCAAGCAAGCACACACACACACACACACACACACACACACACACACACACACACAAAGATAAACTATGTTCTGAGATCAGAGGGTCAAATTATAAAAATGTGGTTCATGGATTTAATGTAAATTCCAAATAAGATCTAATTTTATTTTAGTTATGAAACAGTTTTTCATTGTATCCCAGGCTGGCCATAAATCCACAGAAGTTCTCCTGACTCACCCAACAGTCTCTAAACAGAAATCTTTTAAAAATAAACTATTGCATTTATTCACTTTTGGTTAATCTAAGGTGGAATCCAGGGCCTCATACTTGCCAGAAAACACTCTTACCACCTAATTAAAATTCCAGTGTGCCCAAATTTTCTTATAAAAAAATGATTCATTAACCAAATGCTAAAATATGCAAGCAAAACAAAAGGCAAGTTTAAAGAAGAGTCAAGTGTGGCTACACACTCCTTTAGCACTTGGAGACTGAGGCAGGGGGATGTCTGAATTTGAGGTTATTCTGGTCTTCAGAGTGAGTTCTAGGACAGCCAGGGCTACACAGAGAAACTCTGTCTTAGAAAAAAACAATAAACAACAACAAAAAGATTAAAGAAACCAAAAGAAGGTGGAGGCAGCAGAGGCAGAAGTTCAAGGTCATCCTGGGCTGAAAATTGAGTTCTACTTGAACTAGAGTTCCAGGAGAACTTGGGTGGGCTACAGGACTCTGTTCCTTTGGGGATGGAGGGGCTAAGCTCAGCAGTTAAGAGTGCATACTCCTCTTGCAGAGGACTGTTGTTAGATTCCCAGCACCCACATGGTGCTCACAAACTTCTCTTAAGTACAATTCTAGGCATCAGAGCCTTCTGCCCACCGGTACCGTGCATGCACGTGGTGCACAGATATACCTGCAGGCAAAATACATATATACATAAACTAAAACAAATAAATTCAAAAATGAATTTAAAAAAATAGAAAAGAGACTCCTGAAGAAGTCATACACCTTGCCTGATAACAGGACTTCTGACAAAACAATTACATCAATGAGCAATTAACAGATGCTTGGGCCAGGGCCAGAAATACCCAGACACGGGAACTGTACAATGTCGCTGAACAGCCAGCAGAGGGAAGCACAGTCCGCTCGGCTCTGGTACAGGAGTGTTGGAGAAAAAAGAAGTGGGGAGAAGAATGCTTTTAACAACACGGGTGAGCTTCTCAAGGGAACAGGCAGAGGATGCAGCCCACCATAGCGGTGAATTGGGCCAAGTCAATGCTGCCAGGAAGGAGAGGGCAGCAGGGCAGTTCGGAGCAGAAGAGGGAGGAGGCCGGGGCCCGGAGGCCGGAGGTCAAGAGAGGGCCACAAGCTTTAGAATGGGATTTTCCCATAAGGAAGCCTGGAGGGTGAGGGAGCAGGATGCTTTCAGAGGAGAGGGGGGACAGGATCTGAGGAACAGCGGGGCTCCCAGGAGCAAGAGCAGGAGCAGCAACACTTCCACCACTGCAGAAGTAGTGAACCATCAGACAAACAGGTGCACACAAGTGCATGGGAGATAAACAGGAGGCAGAGGAGGGACCTGAGGAGCGCTGTGTACTGAGGCCTCTTTCTCTCTTCTCTCCCTCTATTCTATTCCTCAATCCTTTTTTATTTTAATTATTATTTGTTTATTTATTTGTTTGTTTTTATTTTCAAGACAGAGTTTCTCTGTGTAGGCCTAGCTGTCTTGCAACTTACTCTGTAGACCAGGCTGGCCTTGTACTCACAGAGATCTGCCAGCATCTGCCTCCTGAGTGGAGTGTTAGGATTAAAAGCATGCACCACCACCTGGCACTCTCTACCTCTCTTTTCTGACAACCCAGGCTGGCTTCAGTTGGCTTTGAACTCCTGAACCTCCTGCCTTATTTCCCAAGCACTGGGATGACAGGCACGAGTTGCCATACGGAACAGAGTCTCTTTTCAGTAAAATGCAAGGTCTCTAGATGACAGTAAAAGAAGAGAGAGCTGGAGGAGGGTGGGGAGTTTCTAGTGGATGGTTAGGACTATGCAAAGTGCTTATTAGAGGTTTGTGGCTGTGAATCTACAAGGCAAACAGCCTCAGTTGTATTTTCTCTCCAACCACATTTAGTGGTTCTGAGTCAGTAGCAAAAGCTTGGTTCAGCTGGGATTGTGGTTGTGTTGGGTGACAGGAGCAGAGAGGGAGAAAGGCCAGGGAACTAGACATTTGCAAGGTCAAGATGGAAACAATGAGGGCCAGCAGACTGGCCAGTGGGTAAAGGCACTGGCCACCAAGTCTGATTCCCTGAGTCAGATCTCTGGGACCCACATGATGGAAAGTGAGAACCAGCCCTGAGAGTAGGACCTCCACAGGCACACACTGTGGCACGTGTGCATGTACATACACATGCATGCCCATAAAAAACAAATGTAACGTTTTAAATGTATTACAATGAACAGGTGGTGGTGGCACACACAGTTCTTTAGTTCCGGCACTCAGGAGGCAGAGGCAATCGAATCATGAATTTGAGGCCAGCCTGGTCTACAGAGTGAGTTCCAGACAGCTAGGGTGACACAGAGAAATTATGTCTCAAAAAAAAAAAAAAAACTGGGTAAGGAAACTAGGCTGAGTATCAGTTGGTAGTATTCCCAAATTCCTGGGTTCCAACCTTACTACCGCTAAAACCAAGTGTTGTAATGCACACCCATAATTCTACAATTCTAGAAGTGGAGGCAGGAGGGTCAGAAATGCAAGGTCACCCTTGGCTACACAGCAAATTCAAGGTAAGCTCAGTTACATTAAGCCCTGACTCAAAACAAAACAAAATAAAATAACCCTAATATGAGAAAGAGAGAGAGAGACAGACAATGTGTACAAAATGAGAGAGTAGAGTAATTCAAGTGGGAGTGACAGGGTCAGTCAATTCCAAGACACCGAGGCCTTCAAGGCAGAGGCTGAGGCCTGGGCAGGGGCAGATGTTTTCAGATGGAGGGGAGTAGGCAATGGCAAGACCCAGAATGCTTTGTGGTGGAACAGAGTGGAGCTGGAGTAGAGGAAAAGGATGACGGGAAAGGGACGGGGGAACCAGACATTGTGATTGACCCCAAGACACAATAGTCAGGAGGTCACCCATAAGTAAGACAGAAATGTGAGAGAACAGGAAGTCAGCAGGTCAGGAAGGAAGGGTGCTGGGAATGAGGAGGAGTGACCAGCAGATGCCTGCATAACCAGGTTTACCTACCCAGGCCCCAGGCAGTCCAGCATGGCCCTTTAGCTCCTTAAGGACCTTAAGGATGTACTCCTCGAAGCTAATTTGAGGAACACCCGAGGTTGACTGTCTGTCTCTCGGGGGACAGAACAGGCTCCGCCAGGGGGTCTGCCCCACAGCCCTGCCCTGTCTCCCAGGTTGCCTTAGGCTCAGGTACCTGGGTAGTTCCTGCAGCCCCCAGCGGTGCTTCCCCGGCGCCAGCTGCCCTCATAAAGTGTAGTATTCCAGTTCCGGAGGGTGCTGCTCTTAAGGGCATCGGGTGTGAGGTTGCAGATCTCCAGTCTGGTGAACTCACGTAAGAAGTCTTGGAATGACATCCTGAGGACACAAGGGCAGAGGTGAACCACAGCCCCCACCATGAACTGAGCTTTAGAGGAGCAAGTAGAGAAGAGGATTGCTTACCAGAACTCCCCATCATCCATTTTGACCCTCAGCTGCTCTCTGTCATAGGGGTCCACTCTGTTCCACTCTGAGGAGCTGTGGGAAGCAAGCACAGCTAGGACTGGACACTACTGACCTGTGGGATTCTGTCCCTGGGTTCTGTCCAACTTGGCATGTTTTCCAGAGCCCAGATCAAGGGGCTTTCTCTAGAACCAGTCCTCTGGAGGTCCTTATGGGTCCCTACTCAAGGGCCCTTCTTTTTCAGACAGGTCTCACTACATAGCTACCACACTCTCCCTGCCTTAAAGACTCTGTAGCATAGATCCAGCTGGGCCTCACTCTGTGTAGCCCAGGCTGGCCTCAAATTTGCAGTGATCCTCCTGCCTCATCTTCCTGAATACTGGAATTCCATGCATAAACCACCATATCCAGCCAGGGGGTGTTATCAATGTGAAATCGATGTCCTGGGTGTATCCTCAGGCTTCCCCAACACTGAGTCCACCTCCAGCCAGCTGAGGTCCAAGGAGAAATGCCAGGGCTTTCTCCAACTTCCCCAAACCTCCCCAACCAGCACCCATTGCCCTGCCCCTTACCTATCACTCCAGGCTCCTTTCCATTCCACTGTGCCCCAGGGATTCCGCATTCGGATTAGGCTCACCTGCTGGCCCTGGTAATTCACCTGTTCCCCAGAGCACACATCAGTGCCATGGCCTTTGACACCCTGCCTGGCCCACTTCTTTACCATCTCACCCTGCTTAGTACCCATCAGCACACCAGGGCCACAGAGTCAATATACCCTGAAGCCAGCCCTCTAGGGATTAACAGCCCAGATAGCCAGCTGTACACATGACTAGAGTCACGTGGGATAAACAGCAATGCACACCCCAGAATGCGCAGAATGGTTATCCCAGGAGGTCATAAAAGGAGAAATCACCTCACACAACCCAGGGCAGATCCCAGGAAAGCATGAAGATGGGAACCACCCTGCAGGACAGACCCCACCCAGGAAATACCTTATTGGCACCTGTCACAGAGTATGCATGGCCCTTCACCAGGTTCTTAAGGGTAGTAGCCTCCATATCCATGATACTGGTGATCTACAGGAAACATGCACTGTGGTCAGAAGATGAGGCGCTATCTCTGCTCGGAGTGATCACAGGGCTCACACAGTACACACAACCCACACAAGCTGATAGGAGAAACTGTCAGACTCCTATCCCATCCACTCCATTGTTGCACACAATGCTGTTCCTCCTGGAGCAGGGTCCATCCACCTCACCGATGCTGTCACCCTGCTGTCACTGGCTAGGGCTGGCAAGATTGTGAACATGCATATACACACTTACAATCAAGCACACCCCCAGGATGACTCAGTGCGGGCACAAGCAAGGGGGGAAGGAAAGGACAGCTCTAAATAGGGCAAACTGGCAGAGTCATGCAGCGCTTTAAAGTTTTACATGATTAACTCTAAGTCTCTCTGTGTGTGACTGTGACGGTGTGTGCAGGTAAGTGAAGAGACCTCAGCAGCCAGAGACATCGGAACGCACTGGAGTGGCAGTGACAAGGAAGGTGGGAGTTATCTGATGTGGGGACTGGGAACCAAAGCCGGGTCTCCTAGAGCAGTCCATGCTCTTACCTACTAATCATCTCTCCAGTCCCATAGCCAACCTTTTTGTCACTGTGGCATGGCATTGTCAGTCACAAAGTTCACTCTTGGTAATAGCTCAGTCAAGTCACAGAGTTTCAAATCTCAAATTTTAACTAAGCTTCCAAGGGTTTGTGTTGGGCCACATAGCAGCATTAGGCAAGGGTATCCCAGAAGACTGCATGATGCTGGTGTGGAGTAATCAGAAACGGGACCAGGGAGGTCAGGATTTGGTTGTGGGGCTGACAAGGGTAAGAAGGAGAAAGGAGAGGGAGGAGCTAGGAGTGGGTGAAGTCTGGGAGTAGGAAAGAGATCTTATCAGAAAGCTGAACCACCTGACTGTGATGGCCTGGGAACATGGGAAGGTACCAAGGATGAGAAAGGGCCTTGCTAACCTTCTCTGTATCATTCCAGTTTTAGTATATGTGCTGCCTGGAGAGATTGCTCAGTGGTTAAGAGCACTGGCTGCTCTTCCAGAGGAGCCCAGTTCAATTCCAAGTACCCACACGGAGGCTCACAGTTGTCTGTAACTCTAATTCCAGGATATCTAACTCCTTCACAAGGACATACAGGCAAAACACCAACAAACATAAAATGCAAGTATCATTTTTTAAAAAACAACTGAGAAGGGAAGAGAGCAGGAAGAATCATTAGCACAAGTCTGGGGCACAGCTGAGGCCAGGGGTTTGATGGTTGAAATGGGAAGGAGGTGATGGGTGGGGCTGGTTTTGCATCCACAACCTACAAAGAGGTAAGTGGGGGGTGTGTCTCAGGCTGAGGTTAGGGTTGGGGAGTAGAACTTGGATATCACTCACGTCAATAGAACAACCCAGCAAGGAGCCTCGTTCCAGGGCCTTTAGAATAATCTGGTAGAGGTCTCTGGGTGCTTTGTGCAGATCGTACCACTCGGTGACCCCACCAGTAAAGTCTTCAAAGGCCTCTGAGGTGGTGCCTCCTGAAAGGGCCTCATAGCTGCTGTTCACCCTGTGGGCAGTTCCAGGTCAGTGAGGTAGGACCAGGTAAGAGAGCCAGGAGCAACCCCTTCCACCACTGGAGACTGAAAATATGCTCTGGGTTCCTACTCACTTGGCATAGGCCTTCTCAAGCAGGGCGCTCCAGAACTCATTGCCCTGGGCAGAATGCACGAACACCAACTCCCCATTCTTGGTGGGCAGCAAGTCATCCACGACCACATCTATCCACTCTCCAAACTGCCACAGCTGTGGGGGAAGGGCAAGGTGAGCAACTGCCCTGGGATCCCCCAGGCCTCAGCTCCAGCTTCAACTGGTCTTGCTAAGTACATGGGTTTACATCCATATTCTGGCTACATGTGTAACACACAACATTTATAGAAGCATGCTTTCATTCTACCAGAGTATATAGCCTGTTAGCCCACCTCAGCATCAGGGATCACAACTACTGACACTCAATCTCAGCACTCAGGAGCCAATCTCTGAGTTCAAGGACAGCCTGAGCTACTTAATAAATAAATTCCAGGACAGTCAGGGCTACACAGTAAGACTGGGTCTCAAAAACAAAATAACAATTCCACAAAACCATATTTGGGTCATGGAGATAGCTCTGGACATAAAGGTGCTTGCTACTAAGCCTGAGAATTTGAGTTCAATTCCAGGGCCCACATGTTAAAATGAGAGAACTGATTTCTGCAAATCATCCTCTGACCTTTACACACCAGACACACACACACACACCACCACAGACACACATGCATGCACACACACAAACACTCGCAAAAATAATAAATAAATATAATTAAAATGTATAAATGAACAAGGACAGACTTGTCTCTTGACATTATCCTCTAGGCAAACAGTTTAATTATTGATGGGATGTTTATATTGCCTTAGGCCTAGCCTCAGTTTCCTCCCCAGGAAAAGGAGCTACAACCTTGGTTTCTCAACAATGCAGGCGACACCTATAACTCAAAACTGAAATGGAACAGGGTTGCTCTTCAGATACTGAGTGGGTTTGGGTAAGAAGGCCTCCAGCTCCGGTTCTTCCTCAGGGACCTCTAGGTCCTGCTGCCTGCTACTTGCCTCCCTATTCTAAACCTGAATGTGGACAAAAGAGGGAGATGTGGATTGAAAATGCCTCGCCCAGACCCTCGACCGCAGAGGGTGGGGCTGGTTCTCCAAATCACCGGATTTGCCCCAGAGGTGCCAAAGGACCCCCTTCCCAGTGTATAACAGGTTGGGTGCAGGTCTAGGCTGCCTAGGAAGGGAAGCTTCCAAGAGCGCCAATAACAATGGCTGGCAGAAGCTCACAATAGTGGTATAAGAAGCCCATTGAAGTATTTGGGAGGAGGTACTGAATGGACCAATCAGAAGCTGGAGAGGAATAAATTGGAGAATTGAGTGAAGGGGCGGGGAAAAGGGTGGCGAGGCCACGCCCCTGACGATTAGAGTTGGGTTAGGTATGGGGATGTCAGCAGACAGTGTAGTACCCTCCATTTCTTCTTGGCCAGAGCAGTTTGAAGTAGGGGGTCCTGACTAGCCAGAGGAAGCAACACAGGGACTCAAAGCATGGCCAGGGTCATGGCCGGAAGGCCTCAACAAAAACTTTTGGAGTGTGCTTCTCTCAACACCAGCTCCTGGAGAATTCCATAATGTAACTTGAAAAGTGGGTCATGTAGGAAAAGGTGGTTTCAATCCCGAGTCTATCTTTTTTTCCTAGATTCTGTTGGAGCTGGTCAATGCCAGGAAGTTGGGAAAAGGCAAACCGACACATGAAGACAGCCATGAGGTTTCCCCAGAAGAATACTCCATCTTCAGCTGGGGAAACTGAGGCTTGGGTGAAGAAAAAAGATTGCTTTGTGAGCCAAAGCACAGAGTCTCTTTCCTTCCACACACTTTCTCCATCCACTAAGAACGACCTTATCTAGGAAGACTGCCAGCTGAAATACCTGCCCACCATTCACACATGACAGACCAGAGGTGGCCCTGAGAGGTCAAATACCATTCAGAGGGAGGGCTGCCCCCACAGGGTGTGGTCCTGGCCATCCCAACTTCACAGTGCTGTGGGCATCCTTTCACATCTCCCTAATGCAAACTATACCTCCACCCCAGCGAGGGTACAGGACCCTTCACCTGGAAATGAAAGATGCCGGCGTATCCATCCTGGAAGCTCTGGCCATGGGGAACCACTCGGTGCAGAAGGGGCTTGTTAAGAGTGAGAGAGGCAATGGCAGCCAGGAGCCAGCAGTCCCCTGCGATAAGAAAGGCCCTTATTAGGCTTGGCCTGTGGATCTTCTCCGGGGAGGCAGGTGCTGTGTTTGGGGAGTGCGGGGGACAACCTGGGGTTCCCTGGGTGAGGAACCCTTCCTCTCTCCCTGCTTACAGAAAAGACCCAGGAATCTGGACAAACCAGCACCTGTGCTGATAGCCAAAACCTGTCTGGGCCTGCAGGAGGGAGGAGTTGGGGCAGTGCCCAGTGGAACGGGAATGGGGAACTACACTGGGAGAAAGACCCAGAACCCAACCCTGGGTGCCTACCCAGTGATCCCTGGCAGACATCTGTTCGGGTGGCTCCATCCACGATGAATTGGGGGTTTGACAGCAGCTCCTACAAGACCCACAGTCCTGTTCCTGAGCCAGTCCCTCCTAGAAACTGGCACCCAGCCCCTCAGACACCACTAACAACAGGGGCCCCAGTCCATTCCTCACCCATGTCAGAGCCAAGTTCCACCTAGTGTGGCCTTCTTACCGTAGGACGCTTCCATTTGATGCCGTATGTTTTAGAGGAATTGGGACCCAGTTCTTTGTAGCCCAGGCTGTGAGTCACGGGAGGGAAAGCTTCATCTTGGAAGAGGACCCCATTCTGCAGGCATTTTGCCCGCAGCTTTTCATAATCCTGGCCCAGGTACTTGATGGCATTTTCATGGCGGCCCAAGCCCAGCTCCTTGGCCCGTTGCTTTTGCACTTGGGCTGATACCCCAGTGCAGTACACAGCTGTGATGAGCTCCTCTGCCATCCTGGGGGACACATGGGCCTGCTAGCAACCCAGGCCTTCCCAGGAATAGAACACAAGTCCTGCCTGTTCTTGCTTTCCTGAACCTGTCCAGTCCTCCCCAAACTTGCTTTCTCTGTTTCACTGACCCCTTTACAGAGCCTGGAACTCTCAACCACCTTGTTAGGATCCCCGAATCTGAAAAATGATGCCTGATTTTCAGGTACACTGGCCACCTCCTCTCCTTTTCCCTATTCCCATTATCCAGGGTTGACTGTTCTGTGTCAGCCATCCAGCATCCAGGCAGATGGTGTAGGGCGTAGGCCAGCCCACAGCGGTACCTCAGGTAAGATCTGTGACCCTGTTTGCCTGCCTGTAGCCCCCTCCATAAAGTTGCTAAGCATCAAGTTCACTTGCCCCTTTCCGCGGCTTAGGAACTGAAAACTCCAGGCACTGATACCCCTCCACAGGCTCCAGAGACAGGCTGAACATCAGAGCACTGGACACAGTGCTCGCGACAGGCTGAGAGCCTGCGATGAGCTGCTTCCTGACCTCTACCCCTCAGGCAAGCAAGGAGAGGACCTGGCACAGGGGCCGACCAGTGACAGCACCCTAGACTCAGAACCAGTGACAGTACCCTAGACTCAGAACCAGTGACCGTGATCAGACAATCGTAGTCTGGACATCCAACTCCTTACCTGGGGGAGGGGAGTTTGGGAGATTGCTGCAGTCCCTGCTGCTGGCTTCTTTGGTGCTGCTCAGGGCAGGGCCCAACCAGGAAGAGCGTTCCTACCCGCCCTTCTCCACCGCCCCTCGGCCCTGGTTCCTCCCTCTTTGGTCCTCCACCTACTCCTGGGGCTTTTACTACGTTCCCTGTATGCTATCTCTTATCTCTCCCGCAACGTTTTTTACTACCTCATGCTCAGGGTGTCCCTCGGTCCCTCCCTTTCTCTTCGGGCTCTGAGCCAACTCTGCGAGAGGACAAATTGTTAAAAGGCAGAGTTGTCCCCCGGGAGGGGCCGGGCGCCTGTCGGGGTGAGGAGGGTTGGGCTGGGACAGAAGGGCACGGCCAGCCAAAGGGAGGGCAGGGCAAGGGTATTTTTAACTAGGGCTCAGATCGAGTTGCAAGGCCACTGGTCCCACCCCACGTCGCCCTCCGGGAAGGTACTGGGGACGATCCGGGCTGTGGCACAGTCTCACAGCCCTGATTCGCCTCCCGCACTCCCGCGCGCCTACTGGGTCGCAGCCGTCCGTCCTCCAGACCAGTCGACATTCCGGGTGAGGCAGAGATTACCTCCGGCCGCTGCAGCTACTCTCTAGAGCCTCCCGTGCTGGGTGCGAGCGGACCTCTACAGGACACAAGGCAAATGGCAGCCCCACCCTTGCCTGTCCCTGGGCCAGCTCCCCACCCCTGAACCTTAAGACGCAGGCCTGCGGAGCTAGCACGCTGCCCAAGCGGTCCTTAGGTAAATCTGTGCCTTGATTCCCCAACCATGCAGTGGAAGAAGAGGGACAATCAATGACCACAGCCAAACATTGTACCGTTCTGAGGTTTCTTGAATTCAGACGCTGACAACTGGTCATTCTGGCCTTTTCTCCCACATTCTTGTCTACCCACCTGGGAGCATGGCCTTTGTGGGGGTTGCCTGACCCCCGGAGAGGGCAGCAGAGGCCCTGAGCACCAGGGCAGGCCCACCTGGGACCCCGGATCCCACCTGGTGCACTTCAAACGGTTGGAAAGGCAAGGACTTGGAGGGTCTAGGGCGGTGGTACCCAGGTTCAGGTCTCTTCCTAGGTCTGGAAGTCACAACATGGCCCACGCACCCTACACACATTCGTTGAATAAACGGTACCTACCTCTCTTGGGATTCTAGACACCATGACAGTCCAAAAGTTAAGAACTGATTGCATCTGACTTTCCCTAGATGGGCACTCCGTACCTGGCATTGTATTCAACTGAGCATAAGATGATGAAGACTCAGGACCTCTGCCTTCATAGTTAATGGGAAGGAAAATTGGTCCATAACACTTTCCTGCCTGAAGCCTGTCTGTAACTCCAGAATCTGAGACTCTCACACAGATATACATGCAAGCAAAACACCAATGCACATAAAATAAAGGTAAATAAAAAATTTTTAAAGAAAATCTATTTTGTTTATGTGTGTGTACATATGCATATAAGTAGCATCAAAAGGGCAGAAGAGGGATCTAGACCCTCTGGAGCTGGAGTTATATTGTATGCAGTCTATAGCTGCCTGACATGAGTGCTGGGCACCCGGCACATCTAGAAGAGCAGCATTGCTCTTAAGTGCTGAGCCATCTTTCTCTACATACTCACGCGTGTGTGCACGCACACACGTGTGCGCGAGCACACACACACACACACACCTACCTGCACAAGTAGCCTAGGCTAGTTTTGAATTCTATATGTAGCTGAGGCTGGCCTTGAGCTCCCAATCATCTCCAAACTATTGTGATTACAGAATTTACCACTCAACCCTGCCAGTTTAGATTTCATTCTAAGTTAACAAGCAAAGGAGGCTGAATAAGAGTAGGTTGGAGGGGACAAGAGAAGAGGTGGGCTTAAAATACCCAGGGACAGATGAGGATGGCTCAAGTCAAAGAGGTGGTGGGTATTCTTGAAGGGAGGGAACTTTATTGATGATAATGATATTAACGATTAATGTAGTACTATAAGGAAGGGAATTTTCTGTGTGTTGGGTGCTCAGTAGGGGCAAGGATAAAGCCCTCTCTCTCTTTGTCTCATGATACTGCTTGACCTGGTGGCTCAGAGATTCTTAGTTGTTGGAATCCACATGGAACGTAAGTGCTACCACCTTGGTGCTGTACCCATATTCATTGTCCTGTCAGGAAATGAATTTGACAATGTGGTCATTGAAGGAAATTCCACTCTCAGAATGAAAGGTTCAGGGGACAAGTATATGGAATCCATTCCATCTTGCCACGAATTCAGAGAGCTCAAATCACTCCTATTGTCTCTAAGATATTAGTTTAACTACTGTAGGATGCCCAGGCCTGGTGGTGAATGACTTCTATCTAAATAACAATAGACTTGGGCCCAGAGGGGTTTACCATCACCCTTAAGGCTAGGTCATACATGCAGCTATGGAGTGTCTTTAAGATTAAGAGAATAGTCCCAGCACTTGGGAGGCAGGTGGATCTCTGTGAGTTCCAGGCCAACCTGGTTTACAGAGCTAACTCCAGGACAGGTTCCAAAACAACACAGAGAAACCCTGTTTAAAAAAAAAAAAATTAAGGGAATAAACCGGGTGTTGGTGGTGCATGTCTTTAATCCCAGCATTCAGGAGGCAGAGGTAAGCAGATCTCTGTGAGTTCTAGGCCAGCCTGGTCTACAAGACCTAACTCCAGGACAGCTTTCAAAGCCACAGAGAAACCCTGTCTCAAACAAACAAACAAACAAAGATTAAATGAAGTAATTGCTATTTGTCCTTTATACATATAATAGAAGTCTTCTGCCATTGTCCCCCACCTTTGGTTGACTACTTAAACTGGTGTATGAATGAACTGGGGCACATTCAATATGGACTGATACTATCCTGTGTCTCTGTCTCTATAGCTAGCCTTTTCCTCATCCACATAGCCCCCACTCAGGAACTGACCTGAGGCTGATTTGCTGGTTCAGAATCTCCAATGACTACTTCACCATTTTTTTTTTTTTAAAGACAAAATTTCACTCCAGGAACTCATAGAGATCCTCCTGAGACTGTCTCCTGAGGGTTGGGATTAAAGGAGTGTGCCACCACCACCCAGCTCACCACCTTCTTGATGTCACTGTACTCTGTGACTTTTTCTTGACTGCAGGCAGGTAGGATCCTAGATGTTGTGGTTGGGCACAGGAAGGGCATTCCGGGGAGCTTCTGATTCGTTCAGTTTAAAGCTAACCTTCATTATGACCTTGACAGTGTTAGTCTGTGCATGATGATGCTCTGGATAGCCCCATGGCTGTCAGAAAACATTTCCCAGACAGGCTGCCCATAGTCTTCCGGGTGGACGTGATGGCACAGACTGAGGTCTAAAAAGAAACCGGGAAGAGCTGTAGCTCAATGCTAGGTCACTCTGCCTAGCAAGTATTAAGCTCGGGATTCAGTCCCAGAACTGAACAGAGGAAGGGAGAAAGGGATAGAGGAAGGAAGAGAGGGACAGAGAGAGAGAATGAAAAAGAAAAGAAAGAAGTGAGCTACAAGGATGTTGCTGGATCTTAAATTCATGTTTGTAAGTGCAAAATGCAAATGTGAGAGTGAGTTTGTTTAGTGTGTGTTGTAAGCTGCAGCGTTCATGTTGAGGACAACATTTGGCAGTCAGTTCTCTTTCCACCATGTGTGTTCTGGGTCAAATTCAGGTTGTAAAGTGTGGCATTGAGTACCTTTACCCCTGATCTTGCAGATCTCCTTTTCAAAATGGTGCCTCAACCTGAGTTCAATTCTCAGCAACTACATGGTGGCTCACAACCATCTGTAATGAGATCTGGTGCCCTCTTTTGGCCTTCAGGCTTGAATGCAGGCAGAACAATGTATACACAATAAATCTTTAAAAAAAGAAAAAGCAGCATAGTTTTTAAACAATTAAAAAGAAAATGGTAACTTGAATGATTCTGGATCTTAGACTTCCTGAAAAAGAGGCAAAAAAGACAAAATGAGGAGATCAGTGGTTGCCAGAAGTGGGACTAGAGGGGTGACTGGGTGTATCACAGGGAATTTTCAAGCCTGGGAAGTGACTGAGTTGTGGTGGATATATGACACTGTGCCAGTAAGCCCACAGACCAGCAACACGAAGGAGGTACCTGAGGGTGAACTGTGGGCTTCAGTTAGTAACATTGTGTCTATATTGCTTCAGCAGTTGTAACAAGCTGAGCAAGGTAATGTAAAATGGTGGCTTTTGTTTAAGACATAGTCTTGTTGTGTAGCTCAAATTCGTCTTGAATTCATGCTTCTCCTGCAAGACCTGCAAGACTGTGGTTCAGTTTCCAGTACCCACATGAATACTTGCAACCATCTGTAACTCCAGTTCCGGGTTTCCAAAATCCTCTTCTGGTCTCTGTGGGCACTGCCCCAAATGTGCACAAACATACACATATGCAAACAGCCATACATAAAAAACAAATATTTAAATTAAAGGGGCTGGGGATGTATCTCAATAAGGGTACAGCACATGCCTAACATACAGGAAGTCCTCCATTCAATGTACGGTTTTAACCTTAACATAGCAAAATATACAACAAAATAGTTATCAAATAAGAACCACAGTTAACAATATTTAGCCATTAACATTTAGCAAGATTTAAAGAAAATATTCCATCATCTATCCTCTCTTTGTGAGTCTAAAGTCCTACACTTATCTTTAATCCTAACTAAGGAAAACTATATCCATAACTACCTGCCTTCAACTCCATCAAAGGCCACAGAAGGATAATATATAAACTCTAGAAATGACAGACATCTTGCTACCTGGTCAGTCACCCAAAGTTCTTATGTAATGTTTTATCTTCAGCCTATAGGCCATAGTGTGTCTGGCAGACTCCTCAGCAAAGCAGGGAACTTTAAACTGTCCACCTGTATTGGCAGTTTGTCAGTCACTTTTCTTTGTGTCCTGCAGACTGTCTGGCAGACTCTTCCATGAAGCAGGAACCCTGTAGCACTGTCCATCTTGTTTCAGCAGTCACTTTCCTGTGGGTCCTGCATGTCCAGTTTATACAGCATAAAGTCAAACAGTCCAGACAAGACTTGCCCAAATGGCTAGTCTTGCCATAGTGAAAGCAAACTCCATAATGTGTTTCTTTGGTGTCCATCTTCTGTTCTGATACAGGTGGTGTTGCCAGGAGCATTTATGTCTCACTGTTAAGAAAAACCCTAAACCATTTTAAATGCCATATTCGGTAGGTCTTTGAAAGGTTTGAAGAATGCCTATCCATCTCAAATACATCTTGAAAACCTAACTAACTTAACTCTAAGTTTTGTCTATTATAGGTAACTATCTACAATCAGTACAATCAGTACTAAGTTATACATTAAAATTTTATATTTTTGGTTGTGAGCCTGGCCTTTAACAGCTGAGCCATCTCTCCAGCCCTATATTACATTTTTTAATGAGCTACATAAACATAATACCTAAACAAGAGGAGAAATATACTTATCACAA